CTTTGGATTGAGGTTACTTGGGACCTTCTTTGAGCTCTAGAAGATGGTCTTGGCTTGATTTAGTGCCTCATTTGTGCCTAGAATTGTCATTTGCTTCAAGAGGTATAACACTTGTCATCTAAGCTTGTTTTGTACACTTGTTTTGCCATTTTTTCAAACTGTTTTTGGGCTGTTTTAGAACGGTAAAAAACTCTGTTTTTGTGGCCTAAAAGTGGTGGTTTGAGGCCATTTTTAGTTAAGGGGTGGTTCACCCTTCTTGTTTCTTTGCTTGTAAAGTTTTTGTGCCTTTATTCGTCACTTTCAAATCCACTTTTTTAGGCCTTTTTACCACTGATTTTCAGAGGTTTTCAGAGACTAAAAATGTTATTTTGAGGTCCCAAAAATAGAGGGGTTAGCCACCCCTCTTTATGCTTGTTTACTAGCTCAAAAGCTCCATGTTTTAGATTATTGCTTTAGCTACTTTTGTCTTCATTCCAACATGTTTTCCAACTGATTTTGGGCTATAAAAACTCTGTATTTTTTGGCTGAAGCTTGGGTCCTAAGGCCATTAAGGTTGAGGGGTTGATAGCCCTTCATTGTACCTTGTTATGGAGGCCTTTGCCTTTGTGTTTCCCACCCTTGCATCATCTTTTTCAAAGCTTTCAAACACTGTTTTTCAGAGCTATTTTAGTGGCTAAAATCATTTTTTGAAATCCAAATTTGGAGGGGTTAGCCTCTCGTCCTTGTGTCTTGTTTGCATACTTAGTTAGCCTTACATGTTAGCATGTTTTTCTAGCTTAACTTAGCTCAAGTCCAGCATGTTTTAGCCTCTAAAATGACCTGTTTTAGCTCTATTTTGGGCTGGTTAGTTCGTTTGAGTCTTGTTTTGTGTAGTTGTAGTGTAAGTCCTTGCACTATCTTGTTATTTTAAAGCTTTAATCATTATTGGTGTGACCTGGTTGCATGTTTTCAGTGCTTTTATCACTGAATTTCAGCACCTAAATCTCTGCAACCTCCCTCTTTGCTTCACTCTTTTATTTGCTTTTGAGAGTTGTTTCAAACTTGAGAGCCTTTAAGCTTAAGATTGAGGTTATGCTTAATGGTTTAATCCTTTTTGAGGGTTCATTACCAACGGCATGATCTCTCTTATACCTTAAATTACCCCTTGGTTGACACTTCTTTCCATTAGAGGACACTCACCAATGGACTTTATTGATTAATGAATGGTTTGGTAATTAAAATGAGTAAACAAAATTGGCAAGTAAAAGAGGCAAGATTAAGCATTCTTTGTGTTGCATTGCATGTGTTCAAATCGAACGTTAATTTGAACACAAGGCAAATGGGACATTTCGTACTCAAAGTGATGAAATGTGTCATTTTCCTTGGTCACCATTGCCCTTGACCATGCATGATAGGATGGTGGTTATTTTGGTCTTGTTTATGCATTTATTGAACTTGTACAAACTTGGTCCCTTAGCCATCATGCATGGAAATTGCTTGATTGATGGTTTGAGGGCCAAGAGTTTCTCTCATTTGAGCTTGTGTGATGATAAGGAGGGTAAACAATACAGACAACGTGTAAGAATACACTGTTTTTCTCTCTGTTGCAGCATGGAAGTGTGAACCAGCAGTGGCCGACAGTCACCACTGGCCACCAATGGTAGCCGATCGGCCCCTTGTCCCCCTTGTCGGCCATCAATGATTTTTGCACAGTGTGTTCCTGAGATGGGGGCAGAGATATTCTGGAAGTTGGAAGAATATTTAGTGATCAAATATGTACAAACAGAGGCTGCAGCAGCAAAACATTGGCTTTTTCGGGTGAAGAATCAAGCATGCATGCATTCCTCGCTTATCGAGATTAGCTACTTAGTTTAATTAGCATTAGATTAAGCATGCGTTGTAATTAATTAGTTGTAGCTAATTATTAGTTTCGGTTTGTAGTAATTAGTTAACTAGAATAGTTAATTAGTTTCAGTTTGTAATAATTAGTTAGCTTAATTAGTGTAGCTAGTTGGTTAGCTTTTATTCATTCGGACCCTCCTTCGCGAGGGCATAATGTTGTAATAAGTGTGCGTGCATGTGTGTATGTCTTCCAGCCCCACGTCTTTCTCCCTTTTATTTAATCGCTTTCGATGGTTAGATTAGGGACATGTTTTAATTAGCATATCACATGCTTACGTCCATTCATTTGTATTGCAAGCACCAAGACTTGGCGCATCATTCAAACTGCATTGTCATTTTAATAATTCTTTGAATAAGTATTTAAACGCATGCTGTTCAAATCGATTCATATGCCATATTAGTAGTCGAGCCTATTAATTGCATATTGCATGTGTTGCATTAGACACTTAACATATTTAGGATCATGCATCTTTCTAACTAGTTTTTTTCTTTTGGCTTGGAGTACTCAGTGAATTTTATGCTTTAGCATACTTGCATGAGTGTGATTGCCATGATGCCATGTTTCGCATGTTTGCCATGAGGCTATGTGCTTAGATACTAAACTGCTTGAATGCCTGTGGATGAAGGCTTGTTGTTTGAATTGGAACGATTTAACAAATGTATGTTTTAAGCCCACTTTGTTGTGGCAAATCATGTTTTAAGCCCACTATGTTTGGTGGCAAATCGTATCTTTTAAGCCCACTTGAGGTGGCAAATTCAAACTATTTTCGCAAACAAACATGAGTTGAATTGTTCCAAATTAAAAAAACTAGTCTATACTTGCTTGTGTGCATCACGTAGTAAAGCTAGTTTAATAATTGGAACAACACCACATAATATTTATAAAAGATCATATCATGATTAGCAGAGGTCGATCTTTGATCGGGCGGGCGAGGGTGCTCAATTCATGACCTTCCCCTCTCGTATCTAAGTTCCCGAGCCGAGGTAACTTTGGTGATGACGGACATGTGGCCTTCGGCATGAGTCAGGGCTTCCTAAATTTTTTCAAAAATAAAATATTTAGGTGGCGACTCTGTATTTGGTAAAGCAGTCTAATTTTGGCATTATTTGATTTAAAATCGATTTTTCAAAAAGGTTTGCCGGATTTGGACGCTTTGGTGTTTATCAGTTTCACATTGCACTTGTGAGACTCGATTCAAAACCACGGGAGTCCGAACTGTGAGGCCTTCTTTTCAAACCTTCCGAAAGGGAGCGCGAAAAAAAGGCGAGTCCACAGTTTCACTTATGTTTCAAGCTAGAGCGCATAAGGCAGAAAAGTCAGGAAAGTGGTGGTTGACCAATTGGAGCTTGTAAGTCGTGAGCATCCCTTCGATGCATATTGATATCAGTTGATGTTCTTCCATTAGATCTTGAATGTCTATTGCATTTTCACTGAAGCAGTGGACATAAACAAGGATGTCCTCCCAAGTTTGTGTTTTCTTCATAAGACGAAAGGTGGTTAGTCTTTCTTCGACGTAAAATAACTTGATATAGACGTTTTCACCAAGTCCACCTGCAAAAAGATAGAGCCAGTGGCGAGGTTGGCATACCATGAGAACGCCCGATCTGTGAGGGACTTGGAGAACTCTTTTATGAGGAGGTTTCGGTCTTCAAAGGCATCGAGAAAGTGCGAAACGTGTTCCATAGCGTTCCCTTTTCGTCCGTCAAAACGGACAATCTTTAGTATAGTGTACCCTACCGGATATGGAAGACTTGCGATGTGAATAAAATAAGGGGAACAGAGGTCCAGTTCTGGAGAGGTAGGGATATGACCATTGTTTGTCTGAAGTAGGTTGTGTATGTGTTCTTTCACTACATCCAAGGTAGACTCAGAGATTTTGGGTTTGATCCCTAGTGGAGTTATAATGTGGGTGATGGAGATTAGAGGCAATCGGTCGTTGATCTCTGGGAAGATGGTGGACATTTCAATAGCCTAAGATCACCGAAGATAGAAGAGGAGAAGACCAAGGCAGGCTTAAAGAGGAAAGGGGTGGCAATGAGAGACCTTGAACACTTAGTGTATGTTATCTGATTCTTGTTGCTCTTGTTGTGTTATTGTGGTTGCACTTATGATGCTCTCATATAGACTCCAAGAGTATTAGGTGGCGAGTTCTCTTCGACTCGACAGGAGGGTGATATCAGCCTTACTAGTTGTGTCCTATGATTCAGGTTCTTGGGAAGGTTGCATCATAGGAGCTACAACTATAGGTATCATATCTTGAGAAGTGTGTCATATGTGCATCAGATGTAAGTGTAAGGTCAACGTCTCTTTCTGTAAGCCAGGTCAAAGGGGGAGCTATCATTACAGGGAAATAATTACACGACCTTGACGATCCCGAGGTCTTAGCCTCCAATCCACAATCTTCAAATGATCCCAAGCAGGAGTGCCTAGTGTCACGCCCCGAGAATTTCTATGACACGAGGAGCAGCATTTGAAGTGGCCAAATGCGCTGGAAGGTTCCGGAAGGTGCAAGAACGGGCTAGAGTATGCTGGAAGACTCTAGAACGTGGTGGAAGGGTCCGGAGTGGCCTGGAAGATTCCAGAATGTGGAAGAACCTTAGAGTGTCCAGATAAGTCTGGATGGGTCTGGAACATCCTAGAATATCCTGGAGAAGCCTACCATGTACTACACTAGTGTGGAGAGTTCTAGATTGTAGTAGATAGGGTAGTTGTCCTAGATAGTTCTATGGAGAGTTCTAGATGAGAGTTTGTAGCACTTGGATCAAAATGATCCTAGACGTCCATTGAGGAGGGGGATGGCTATATAAGGGTGAGGGGTCTCATTTGCTAGGCACCTAGAGACCTAGAGATCCAAGAGAGCTCTAAGAGTGAAGCACTTGTGAGTGTGAGTGTGAGAGCCTTGTAAGCTTTGTACACAACTATACTTGTAAAGTTAACTTGTATAGCGAAGGCGTTCTTCCACCTAAATTGTGTGTGTTAGTGTGGTTGAGTGGGTAAGGCCGACATAGGTGTAACCAAGAGGGTTGAAAAACATCTAAGGCTGCACGGTAGGCTTGCGAAGTCTAAGGCCGTGACAGTTGGTATCAGAGCAGAGGTGTACATGGCTATGTCTGGCGACGAAGGGAACGTCCCCAGGGTGAGGAAGCTCTCAACGAAGGAGTCGATGGCAGCATTGGAGGCGCGACTCGAGGGGATGATGGAGAGTGTGGTAGAGCGGTTCACTAGGCTTGAGGAAGCGCTAGTTGGCCCTGGTAAGCCCACATCTCATATCAGTGACTTTTTCTCCTATTTTGCTGGTTTGGTTGCTAGGGTGGAAGAGCTGGAGGAGAAGGTGGACTCCTTCGAGGGAAGGGTGAATTCGTCTCGCTTCGAGGTAGCTACAGACAGTCCAACCCAGCAGAAGGTCCTGGAAGCAAGAGTAGCTAGCTTGGAGTTAGAGTTGGAGTTGTGCAAGAAGGCCATCGTCGCTGGCAATGGAGGGAATTTGGCTCCAGCTGGGAGGAAGGTTCGTGCGCCTAAGAGCTATGATGGTGCGAGGGGTGCCCGAGAGAGCCATGCCAAAGGTGAGAGGCAGTCTCCTCAGACCACCGAGGATGAGCACAGTGATGGCCAGGCCCAGAAGAGACGGGAACGCCAAGGGAAGGGGCAACGCACCGGATCTTCGAGGAAGAGAAGGCAGCTTGAGTGTTTCTTGTGCAATGGACCGCACATGGTGAGAAACTGCCCGAAGAAGAAGAAATAGCTGAGTGCCATGGAGAAGAAGGGAAAGAAGGAGGCGAGGGACTCCGAGAGTAAAGACCCTTCAGAGAATGAGGCACAGCTAGGGAGCATCCAACTTTTTGGGTCAATATCCCAGAAGAGTGGGGAGATGCCAGAGTCGACGAACATCCAAAAGAAGGATGAGCGGTGCGCGGAGGTGAAAGCTAAGGGGAAAACTTCACATGCGCAGGAGAAGAGAGGTGCCACTCTAAGCTTTAAATGCTCCGAAGAGGCTAAGAGGCTGGGCTTGAAGAGGAAGGGGCGGCTCGAGTGTTTCCTGTGCAACGGACCGCACATGGTGAGGGACTGCCCGAAAAGGAAGGCACTTGCAGGGATGCAGCAGAGTGGGCTGCATGGCAAGGACAACGAGAAAGCACTTGCAGGGATGCAGCAGAGTAGGGTGCATGGCAAGGACAAGGAAAAAGAACTTGCAGGGATGCAGCAGAGTGGGCCGCATAGCAAGGGCAAAGAGGAGGCAAGCACTAGCAGTAGCGGACACAGATCATATCGAGACGTGGTGGCTCGGTATGCTTCTACGTGACGAGGGCATCACGGGATTGGGTGGGGGAGAGTGTCACGCCTCGAGAATTTCTGTGACACAAGGAGCAGCATTTGAAGTGGCCAAATGCGCTGGAAGGTTCCGGAAGGTGCAAGAACGGGCTAGAGTATGCTGGAAGACTCTAGAACATGGTGGAAGGGTCCGGAGTGGCCTGGAAGATTCCGGAATGTGGAAGAACCTTGGAGTGTCCAGAGGAGTCTGGATGGGTCTGGAACATCCTAGAATATCCTGGAGAAGCCTACCATATACTACACTAGTGTGGAGAGTTCTAGATTGTAGTAAATAGGGTAGTTGTCCTAGATAGTTCTATGGAGAGTTCTAGATGAGAGTTTGTAGCCCTTGGATCAAAATGATCCTAGCCGTCCATTGAGGAGGGGGATGGCTATATAAGGGTGAGGGGTCTCGTTTGCTAGGCACCTAGAGACCTGGAGATCCAAGAGAGCTCTAAGAGTGAAGCACTTGTGAGTGTGAGTGTGAGAGCCTTGTAAGCTTTGTACACGACTATACTTGTAAAGTTAACTTGTATAGTGAAGGCGCTCTTCCACCTAAACTCTGTGTGTTAATGTGGTTGAGTGGGTAAGGCTGACTTAGGTTTAACCAAGAGGGTTGAAAAGCATCTAAGGCCGCACGGTAGGCTTGCGAAGTCTAAGGTCATGACAGTTGGTATCGGAGCAGAGGTGTACATGGCTACGTCTAGCGACGAAGGGAACGTCCCCAGGGTGAGGAAGCTCTCAACGAAGGAGTCGATGGCAGCATTGGAGGCGCGACTCGAGGGGATGATGGAGAGTGTGGTAGAGCAGTTCACTAGGCTTAGGAAGTGCTAGTTGGCCCTAGTAAGCCCACATCTCATATCAGTGACTTTTTCTCCTATTTTGCTAGTTTGGTTGCTAGGGTGGAGGAGCTAGAGGAGAAGGTGGACTCCTTCGAGGGAAGGGTGAATTTGTCTCGCTTCGAGGTAGCTACAGACAGTCTAACCCAGCAGAAGGTCCTGGAAGCAAGAGTAGCTAGCTTGGAGTTAGAGTTGGAGTTGTGCAAGAAGGCCATCGTCGCTGGCAATGGAGGGAATTTGGCTCCAGCCAGGAGGAAGGTTCGTGCGCCTAAGAGCTATGATGGTGCGAGGGGTGCCCGAGAGAGCCATGCCAAAGGTGGGAGGCAGTCTCCTCAGACCACCGAGGATGAGCACAGTGATGGCCAGGCCCAGAAGAGACGGGAACGCCAAGGGAAGGGGCAACGCACCGGATCTTCGAGGAAGAGAGGGCAGCTTGAGTGTTTCCTGTGCAACGGACCGCACATGGTGAGAAACTGCCCGAAGAAGAAGAAACAGCTGAGTGCCATGGAGAAGAAGGGAAAGAAGGAGGTGAGGGACTCCGAGAGTAAAGACCCTTCAGAGAATGAGGCACAGCTAGGGAGCATCCAACTTCTTGGGTCGATATCCCAGAAGAGTGGGGAGATGCCAGAGTCGAGAAACATCCAAAAGATGGATGAGCGGTGCGCGGAGGTGAAGGCTATGGGGAAAACTTCACATGAGCAGGGGAAGAGAGGTGCCACTCTAAGCTTTGAATGCACCGATGAGGCTAAGAGGCTGGGTTTGAAGAGAAGGGGCGGTTCTAGTGTTTCCTGTGCAACAGACCGCACATGGTGAGGGACTGCCCGAAGAGGAAGGCACTTGCAGGGATGCAGCAGAGTGGGCTGCATGGCAAGGACAACGAGAAAGCACTTGCAGGGATGCAGCAGAGTAGGCTGCATGGCAAGGACAAGGAGAAAGCACTTGCAGGGATGCAGCAGAGTGGGCTGCATGGCAAGGGCAAAGAGGAGGCAAGCACTAGCAGCAGCGGACACAAATCATATCGAGACTTGGTGGCTCGGTATGCTTCTGCGTGACGAGGGCGTCACGGGATTGGGTGGGGGAGAGTGTCACGCCCCGAGAATTTCTGTGACACGAGGAGCAACATTTGAAGTGGCCAAATGTACTGGAAGGTTCCAGAAGGTGCAAGAACGGGCTAGAGTATGCTGGAAGACTCTAGAACGTGGTGGAAGGGTCCGGAGTGGCCTGGAAGATTCTGAAATGTGGAAGAACCTTGGAGTGTCCAGAGGAGTCCGGATCGGTTTGGAACATCCTAGAATATCGTGGAAAAGCCTACCATGTACTACACTACTGTGAAGAGTTCTAGATTGTAGTAGATAGGGTAGTTGTCCTAGATAGTTCTATGGAGAGTTCTAGATGAGAGTTTGTAGCCCTTGGATCAAAATGATCCTAGCCGTCCATTGAGAAGGGGGATGGCTATATAAGGGTGAGGGGTCTCATTTGCTAGGCACCTAGTGACCTGGAGATCCAAGAGAGCTCTAAGAGTGAAGCACTTGTGAGTGTGAGTGTGAGAGCCTTGTAAGCTTTGTACACGACTATACTTGTAAAGTCATCCTGTATAGTGAAGGCATTCTTCCACCTAAATCTTGTGTGTCTTAGTGTGGGTTGAGTGGATAAGGCTGACTTAGGTGCAACCAAGAGGGTTGGAGACATCTAAGGCCGCACGGAAGGCTTGCGAAGTCTAAGTCCGTGACACAAGGCAAAGGCCAAGGCCGCGGGCAAAGGCCAAGGCCAAGGCCAAGGCCATGGCGTGCCACCGCCTCGATCGATCTTTTTGAACATGATTCTTTTATAATCTTACCCAAACCGTGCAACACAATTAAAAATGCACTACAATCAATTCTAAATGTCATTCCCTATTTTTTTGCAATTTTTCTGGAGCATTTCGAATTTTTAAAGCCCTTATTTGGCATAAAAAAATCAAAATAAAATAAAAAAAAATGAAAAAAGTTGGCCCTGGTAAGCCAACATCTCATATCAATGACTTTTTCTCCTATTTTGCTAGTTTGGTTGCTAGGGTGGAGGAAGCTAGAGACAGTCCAACCCAGCAGAAGGCCCTGGAAGCAAGAGTAGCTAGCTTGGAGTTAGAGTTGGAGTTGTGCAAGAAGGCCATCGTTGCTGGCAATGAAGGGAATTTGGCTCCAGCCAGGAGGAAGGTTCGTGCGCCTAAGAGCTATGATGGTGTGATGGGTGCTCGATAGAGCCATACCAAAGGTGGGAGGCAGTCTCCTCAGACCACCGGGGATGAGCACAGTGATGGCCAGGCCCAAAAGAGACGGGAACGCCAAGGGAAGGGGCAATGCACCGGATCTTTGAGGAAGAGAGGGTAGCTTGAGTGTTTCCTGTGCAACGGACCGCACATGGTGAGAAACTGCCCGAAGAAGAAGAAACAGCTGAGTGCCATGGAGAAGAAGGGAAAGAAGGAATGCACTTGCAGGGATGCAACAGAGTGGGCTGCATGGCAAGGATAACAAGAAAGCACTTGCAGGGATGCAGCAGAGTAGGCTGCATGGCATGGCAAGGACAAAGAGAAAGCACTTGCAGGGATGCAGCAGAGTGGGCCGCATGGCAAGGGCAAAGAGGAGGCAAGCACTAGCAGCAGCAGACATAGATCATATCGAGACGTAGTGGCTCGGTATGCTTCTGCGTGACGAGGGCGTCACGGGATTGGGTGGGGGAGAGTGTCACGCCCCGAGAATTTTTGTGACACGAGGAGCAGCATTTGAAGTGGCCAAATGCGCTGGAAGGTTCCAAAAAGTGCAAGAACGGGCTAGAGTATGCTGGAAGACTCTAGAACGTGGTGGAAGGGTCCGGAGTGGCCTGGAAGATTCCGAAATATGGAAGAACCTTGGAGTGTCCAGAGGAGTCTGGATGGATCTGGAACATCCTAGAGTATCCTGGAGAAGCCTACCATGTACTACATTAGTGTGGAGAGTTCTAGATTCTAGTAGATTGGGTAGTTGTCCTAGATAGTTCTATGGAGAGTTCTAGATGAGAGTTTGTAGCCCTTGGATCAAAATGATCCTAGCCGTCCATTGAGGAGGGGGATGGCTATATAAGGGTGAGGGGTCTCATTTGCTAGGCACCTAGAGAACTGGAGATCTAAGAGAGCTCTAAGAGTGAAGCACTTGCGAGTGTGAGTGTGAGAACCTTGTAAGCTTTGTACACGACTATACTTGTAAAGTTAACTTGTATAGTGAAGGCGTTCTTCCACCTAAACTGTGTGTGTTAGTGTGGTTGAGTGGGTAAGGCTGACTTAGGTGTAACCAAGAGGGTTGAAAAGCATCTAAGGCCGCACGGTAGGCTTGCGAAGTCTAAGGCCGTGACAGTTGGTATCAGAGCAGAGGTGTACATGGCTACGTCTGGCGACGAAAGGAACGTCCCCAGGGTGAGGAAGCTCTCAACGAAGGACTCGATGGTGGCATTGGAGGCACGACTCAAGGAGATGATGGGGAGTGTGGAAGAACGGTTCACTAGGCTTGAGGAAGCGCTAGTTGGCCCTAGTAAGCCCACATCTCATATCAGTGACTTTTTCTCCTATTTTGCTAGTTTGGTTGCTAGGGTGGAAGAGCTGGAGGAGAAGGTGGACTCCTTCGAGGGAAGGGTGAATTCGTCTCACTTCGAGGTAGCTAGAGACAGTCTAACCCAGCAGAAGGCCCTGGAAGCAAGAGTAGCTAGCTTGGAGTTAAAGTTGGAGTTGTGCAAAAAAGCCATCGTCGCTGGCAATGGAGGGAATTTGGCTCCAGCTGGGAGGAAGGTTCGTGCGCCTAAGAGCTATGATGGTGCGAGGGGTGCCCGAGAGAGCCATGCCAAAGGTGGGAGGCAGTCTCCTCAGACCACCGAGGATGAGCACAGTGATGGCCAGGCCCAGAAGAGACGGGAATGCCAAGGGAAGGGGCAACGCACCGGATTTTCGAGGAAGAGAGGGCAACTTGAGTGTTTCCTGTGTAATGGACCGCACACGGTGAGAAACTGCCCGAAGAAGAAGAAACAGCTGAGTGCCATGGAGAAGAAGGGAAAGAAGGAGGCGAGGGACTCTGAGAGTAAAGACCCTTCAGAGAAGGAGGCACAGCTAAGGAGCATCCAACTTCTTGGGTCGATATCCCAGAAGAGTGGGGAGATGCCAGAGTCGAGGAACATCCAAAAGAAGGATGAGCGGTGCGCGGAGGTGAAGGCTAAGGGGAAAACTTCACATGCGCAGGAGAAGAGAGGTGCCACTCTAAGCTTTGAATGCATCGACGATGCTAAGAGGCTGGGTTTGAAGAGGAAGAGGCGGCTCGAGTGTTTCCTGTGCAACAGACCGCACATGGTGAGGGACTGCCCGAAGAGGAAAGCACTTGCAGGGATGCAGCAGAGTGGGCTGCATGGCAAGGACAACAAGAAAGCACTTGCAGGGATGCAGCAGAGTAGGCTGCATGGCAAGGACAAGGAGAAAGCACTTGCAGGGATGCAGCAGAGTGGGCTGCATGGCAAGGGCAAAGAGGAGGCAAGCACCAGCAGCAGCGGACACAGATCATATCGAGACATGGTGGCTCGGTATGCTTCTGCGTGACGAGGGCGTCACGGGATTGGGTGGGGGAGAGTGTCATGCCCCGAGAATTTCTGTGACACGAGGAGCAGCATTTGAAGTGGCCAAATGTGCTGGAAGGTTCCGGAAGGTGCAAGAACGGGCTAGAGTATGCTGGAAGACTCTAGAACGTGGTGGAAGGGTCCGGAGTGGCCTGGAAGATTCCGAAATGTGGAAGAACCTTGGAGTGTCCAGAGGAGTCTGGATGGGTCTGGAACATCCTAGAATATCCTGGAGAAACCTACCATGTACTACACTAGTGTGGAGAGTTCTAGATTGTAGTAGATAGGGTAGTTGTCCTAGATAGTTCTATGGAGAGTTCTAGATGAGAGTTTGTAGCCCTTGGATCAAAATGATCCTAGCCGTCCATTGAGGAGGGGGATGGCTATATAAGGGTGAGAGGTCTCATTTGCTAGGCACCTAGAGACCTGGAGATCCAAGAGAGCTCTAAGAGTGAAGCACTTGTGAGTGTGAGTGTGAGAGTCTTGTAAGCTTTGTACACGACTATACTTGTAAAGTTAACTTGTATAGTGAAGGCGTTCTTCCACCTAAATTGTGTGTGTTAGTGTGGTTGAGTGGGTAAGGCTGACTTAGGTGTAACCAAGAGGGTTGAAAAGCTTCTAAGGCCGCACGGTAGGCTTGCGAAGTCTAAGGCCGTGACACTAGGCCTTGCTCCCGACCTAGGCAACCAAGAGGATGAGTGCATGGGTAAGCCAAGGGTTCATCTTGAGCAGCTAAGTAAACGTAGGTGAGCCAAGAGTGCAACTATGTTACTATGGAGCTGGGGTGAGTGGGTAGAGAAAATATTTCTTGAGTTATGAAGGGCAATAGAGAGCTCTATGTAAGCCAACTCTATCAAAGTGAGTTTTGGCCTTGTTTTCATACTTGGTGGTGTGCATGCCCTCACTTAGGCTAGGCATACAACCCCAACTCATCGTTGTGCCTCAGGGATCTGCCACGTGGATGTGATGGTGATGACGTGATGCCCATAGGACTCACCACGTGCCAAGCATGATACTCACACGTACCAAAAATAAAAAAATGAAAATTGTGTATTTTTCAAGCATGTGGAGAACACCAGAGATGAAGAATATAATAGCAAGTATGATTACAATACAATGAAAAGAGCAACTGGGCTTATTTTACTTGGGGTTGATTCTTTCTCGTATGTCAATAAAGTTAATTAAATTGCTTCCCTTCACACACACACACACACATGCACAAACACAAAACTCCCAAATTTGGTTTTCTAGTTTTTGTATCTACTACCAAACAATCGAGGAGCCAAGATGTCCAAATTTCCAAGAAACACTCAAAGCAACATAAGAGTACATGATGATTACCTCACAAATACATCAATAAAAGGTCCAAAAGAAATATAGCAATTCATCAAGGCATGTTTGAAATAAGGTAGTAAACAAGTTCTACCAAAAACAAAGTAAACAAGCGGAGGGGGAAAAGAAGAAACACAAGGAACGTTCTTATAGGAATTTTAGCAAATACCGGGCGTGCTTCCATCAATTGGGTCAACGAATTGAGAATCACTCTCTCCAAAACATTACTAAAGAATGTGATTGTTGTGTCCCAGCTGGAGAGGAAACAAAAAAAATTTAAGCACAACAGATATTCCATTTATTGATGCAAAAATGGATTAAGAAATTAAGGGAATGAAACTTAATTAAGAAAAGGGAACAAATGAGTTACATACCAGAATGGGGAAAGAGAAAGCAAAATGCTTTTCTTTGAATTGAAGCTTTGTAACAAGGGATTGGCCCAAAAAATGGATTAAGAAATTAAGGGAATGAAACTTAATTAAGAAAAGGGAACAAACCAGGTACATACCAGAATGAGGAAAGAGAAAGCAAAATACTTTTCTTTGAATTGAAACTTTGTAACAAGGGATTGGCCCAAAAGATTTGTGCTTAGAGTAAGAAAAAGATTTGTGACAAGAAAGTTTGCATTGTGTTTGTTGCGGGCAGATGTTGCTGTAAGCCAACAACTCTATAGGTGGTGCATCGATTGACCGAACAGAGGAAGGTTCTAGGATATAGACATGGCAACTTGTGGTTGACTACTCCAATGGTTATGGCTTGTGGTGCATATCTCCTGGGACACTTGGATAGACCATAAGCAAACACATCACTTGTCTATTTGAAAAGAGATAAAGATATGGGTAACACAGGAGTACTGCTAAAGCGATAGATTCAATACGCCTGTCTACTTGAGTTCTTTTATATAATAGGTATAGATTGTATAATAGTGTTCTTGAGAAATTTTCACCTAAACCGGTGTATTTGTCCTTTTGTAGAACCTTAGAAACCAAGTAGGTTCCTAAGGACATCTCTAACGGTTCACTAGAATTTTTATCAAATTTGAGTAAAAAAATGACGAATTCCTCTATCTGATATTGCCTGCTCCAACGGAGGAATTTGGCTTTTCATCAAACCACCGGTCGACCGCACGGACGACCGGTCGGTCGACCAATCAATGCAAAAAATGAAAAAACAACAGTTGATGACTTTTGATAGCTCTGGTGAACAATTGGTTGTTGTTGGTAGCATTGGTGATGCCCAGTACCACTACCTGTTCCTGAACTATACCCATTAACACTTGGTTCTGAAACATTTTTCTTGCTGGTACAACCACCCATTTTTGCAACATATCTCTTCAACAAAACCCAGGTCAGAAAAGAGGGTATACACAGATGATTTTCTTGTAAAAGACCCAATTGGGTAATTGAGATTTGTGGGATGGTTCAGAATAAACTACCCACAACAAGGAATTCAACTTAGTGGACAAGGAAAAAAAGATGAGATATGGTGAATGAAAACCAACAAGATTACCTATTTAAGCAAATCCGAGATCAGAAATAAGTGATTGAATCTAAACGTTTGAGACACACACACACACACAGAATTGATCCAACTATATTCAAATCAGAAAGTTAGAGAACATGTTTGTTTTGATTACAATGTTCAACTAACAGTAGCCAATTTGTGAACAATTAAAATCAGTATATACACATAATTCAGAATTATAAATTCACTATCTTCGCAATCTTCATTTTGCGCTTTTACATTTCATTCACACACATACACATACATACATACATACTCTGCTTTATATTTGTAATGCAAAAAGCTAAATGATGATGAAGAAAATAGAGCAACTATCGTGATACCAGAGCCTCTTTCGGAGTAAATTTCGCATTAACTCAAAAAATGGTTTGAACAACCAAATATACGAAGTGAATCACCACCCGGCAAAGAATGCGTTTCCACCTGGACACACCTCAATCAGTGTCTGGAGCCCATCTCAATTTAGGCTCAAAATTAGTCAAAAGTCATGATTGCACAAACCATTTTACCAACACTGTGTTAGCTATTTTTGTAGGAATTATTCAAGGAATAGGACGACCGAGGGGGACATTTGACTGGACGTCCGGCCGATTATCAGGTGGATCCCATCCTCAACGGTCATACACCCAAATCCTCAGTTTGGTGAAACCTTTGCTATTTTCTCAGTTTGATACAGATTTGGTGAAATCATTGGAGCACAAAAAGATGTAATTTTTCATCAAATTTGAATTTGATAATAAATCTGATGAAACATTAGAGATGACCTAACAAGCAAATAGGAGCGTTATACCAAGCTTATGCATTTCTTTTTATATAAGTTATAGATTAACTCTCTACTTACAAGTATATTTTTATATAATAATAAAAATTAATTTAAAAAAATCATTTAAATAATTTTATTTCTAAAATAATAATATATTATTTAATATTTGAACAAGTAGTGATTACATTGTGATTAATAACAAAGTTTATAAAAATAATAATTCTAAACCGAATCGAATTGCGTTTCCATAATTCAGTTTGATTACAAATTTTATAAAGCCATAGGTACTAATTTTGATTTGATTCAAAATTGAACTGAATCAAAACTATGCTCACCCATAATTACTAATCAAACCGCACTCTTGCTATTTTAGCTAATTATTTTTTACTACATTCCTCAACAATAATTTAGATTTATGTCCAATATGTAAGTTACATATAATAAAATATTTTTATGCCACGTAACTGTCAATGTATTATTTTCTATTTAATTTTAACATAAATTAACTTTAAGGGTAAATTGAGAAAAACTAAAAATATGAAAAGTCCAAGTGAAAAAAATAATAATAATAATTCAAAGATCAAAGTGAGAAAGTGGCCAAATATAAAAAGACGAAATATAATTTACCCAACAAATTTACAATATGAATTATTCGGATAAAAAGACTTGAGACTAGGTGGAAGGGAATGATTGGATTCTAGAAATCGAATGTTCTAATATATATATAAATACATGTATTTAATGTGTGTATATGTATACAAGTGGAGCCATTACAGCCTTGCATTAATTAATAATATCATGCCAGATGTCATTCAAGGATACGCAAGTGATGACGACGAAAAACATGGGCCAAAAATATTCCTACAATTTTGAAAATAAAATATTTCATGACAATTGTGGGTCCAAACCTGCTTTAGAAAATAAAATATTTCAATCAAATCTTTTTATGCAACTTGCATTTTAATTAAAAATAAAAAAAATAAAAAATAAATAAAAAAAAATCGATCAAGCCTACTGTGATCAGCAACTAATTCCCCTTGCAAAAATGGAGACATGTCCCTATTGTGAGGTGGCACATAAGATCCCAAGAATATCAAATAGCTTCTCGGACACGACAAATTATTAGGCGAGTCTGGAACACGAGGGTAAGCCAACGGAAAAAAAAAAAAAAATACGACTTGCACCCGGCTGTAAGAAGGTGACACTGCAAAACTTGGCAGCTGCAATGGTTTATAAATGAAGGCTACATAGCATTGCAGTTGCATTTGTTTTGCCATTCACAGCAGGAAGATGAACATCAAACATCAACTCCTTTGAAGATTTTCAATGCCTACCAAGCAATCACGTTCAATAATAAAACAAGTAAATATACCTATTTTTCAACTAATTCATTTGGGCCTGTGTCTGACAGTTTCTTCGGCACGTGTTAGTGCATCTGTGAGCACATCAATAGTCCAATCCTTCAAATCATCCTACACAAAACAAGTAAATAATAACAAATGGTCAGGCAAACAGGAAAAACGGATTAAATCGCCATTGGTTCAATCGCCGGATCAACTAAAATCAAATGTCACAAATATATTACAAATTTTATATTTGAAAAAAAAATACAAGTATAAAAATTACAAAAGAAAAGCATCATAGATACACAAAATCAAATAAACTAGACACGGATTCTTTAACTGTCACTGATACGGGGCTTTCAGGAGTGAAGACTGAATGAGGATGAAAAAATCAAATAACGGAATGAGGGCTGAACGAGCCCTAAGCCAAAATTTAAAGGAGCTTAGATACCAGTCGGTCAAGGTAAACCGTTGCCAGATTGAATGAGTGACTGGTTCAACCACAGCTCTAAGCGGCTTTAACAAAGGAGGGCAGTTTGTGTTCAAAGCAGTTTTGTGGTTCATATGGACCAGTGTGATATGATTTTCATAACATTAATACACAAACACACAAGCATACTTTCTGAAGAATAGAACTAAGCACGTACTAGGGGTGTTCATAGTTCGGTTGTGGCCTAAGAACCTCCAATCTGTCATCCGTCCACCAGATTGGCAGATTGAAAAAAATTAATTCGCATCCATCCGCCAGATTGACAGATACAGATTGAGCGGATTGGCAGATGAATACAAATCGATTTAGCGGTTTAAAATTTTACAAATTTTGAACATAATACAACTTGTCAATATTTTTTTTTCAATAACAATCCAACTCAACACAATCAAAAGATCATTAAGTAAATTGTCAAATACCAATAATAAATACATATAAGAAAATCATTCATTATCAAAACTATTTCATTACTGTTTTTTTATTCAAAAACTATTTAATTTGATTTTTAAAAAAATGATAAAATTAAGTCTTATATTTTTCATACAAAAATATCAAATATCAACATTTGCCATTTGAAAAAAGGATTTTTAAATTGAAAACAATTTGAAAATACAATAGAATATCTAAATTCTTTTTCAATTGAAAACATAAACAGAATATCTAAACAAATTGAAAACACAAAGTCTTGCAAATTACTAGGAATGTTCGAAGTTTGGCGGTTCGGTTGCGGTCAAAAGAACCTCAAATCCGCCATCCGTTCAAAACTAGGCGGATTGAAAAAAATCAATCCGCAACCGTCCACTCGTCATCACGCATCCGTTCAAAATGTGTTAGATCAATTTGGTTCGGTTCGGTCGGTTTGGACGGATCGGAATATCGTCGAGACACTCCTAGCACGTACCCAAATCACAATCCATTTAATTTGGTTATACAAGACAGTGAACTGTTATTTGATGCTCTGAGCTACAAATGTCATCATCAGTTCCATCAGTTACCATTGTAAACTGTTTTCAGCTAGGCTGGAAATAGAGCAATGTGGTCAGTGTTTCCACCATGGTAACAGACCTGAGTTAAGAAACTTGGCTGCTAATTATGACTACACTAAATTTTGTTCAATAAACTCAAGTGCCTAATTTTGAGCCTTCTCAGGAGGCAGTAAGACAGACTGAATATTGAAAAGGTTCACATATTGGGTTGAGGGCAGATGTGGAAAGAACTGAGCATGGTGCAAATATAGTTCCCTACTACTACAATCATTGTAAACAACATACTAAAATGCCACAAGTGCTAAAGGTTATAAGGAAAAATAGGATATAAGATTAAAAATGTGCCATTGCCTAACAAACACATAAAAGATGCATATAAAAAAGAAAAGGTGATTCTGAATTTAAAAAAAGAATTAGGGATCTTAAATTAATGTCAGACGAGTACTAATAATTCTTAAGAAATAGAGGCTTGTTTCCCAAGAAAAGAAACCATACAAACAGTAATAGCTGGATTTTGATATTATCATGTAATTTGGTGGAGAAGAGAAATTCTGCAAGTCTGTGACACTAAAACAAATAAAACAGCAAGCGTATACAGCTTGGGTCTTGTGCTAATCCTAAGTAAATAAAGTGCATACGTGTAGAGGATTAGAGCACACAATTAATATAATACTATGGCCTCTCATATTAAGCCTCAAAAATGAAGATCTCAACAATTTTTAGAAAATAAATGTTGCAAAACCCACAGAGAAATTAACAAGATAAGTATGTCTAATGGAGCATAAAATTCAATTGCCTGAGGTTGAATGACAAACAAAGTGCCTAGTATTTGCAAGTGTCCCCATTGGGGATAGATTGACTCTATTGGTATATATATAATATTTGAGTGAAAATTGCAAATTCAACTGGACATCAAAGATACTAAAAACTACCACCACATTCAGTTTTCTTAAAGTGGAAACAAAATTTTACCATGAATGGACCCCCCCATCATGGGCCATCAAAGAAAATGGAGAAATTACCACAGCTTATTTTCTAATCTAATAAGCAATTATTCAAGACCATTTAACAGAGGCAGCCACTGAACACAATTTATCAATCAATTTTCATTAGGATGTTGGAGAACACCTTTACCCCTTACAATGTAGTATCAGCAAGACTCTGAAATAACACCTCAATCCATTTAAATAAAAAGATAAATGACAGTAGAATTGAGCTTCACCTTGTGTAATGGTTCTCCAGTTCTTATTCGTGCATTTGGACGGGCGAGCTTTGATTCAAACGGAGTCCTTGGCCTCACTTCTTTAATTTCCTCCCACTCCTCACGAGTAAGCATCCTAACTGTGCCTTGACCAGCAGGAGCATGCTCTATTTTGCGCTCAATCATCTCTTGGGATTTGGATTCATCATACTGCCAGTATACCATATTAATCACATTAATATTGTCAGGTATAGAATCAAAAAAATTGACTGATGAGGCTTTCAGGCAAGCAAAATTGATGTCAGAGGATAATCTACAAAAGGAACAGCAAGAAACCTCTATATTTAAGCTCCAAACTTCATTAGGTATGCCATTTTAGTAGTGGATGAATCATCGGTCAATAATGACCAAATTATATCTTGAAATATCTCAGAAGGTCAGAGAAACTATAGCCTGTATAGTCCCACCAACACAATTACCTGAAACCTTACCACAACCATCCCATGCGGTTGCTACTTCACGGGAGTCACCACAAACATCAATAAGGCTCTGCCCTATTGAGAGTATCTTCCATTAGGCAATCCGATAGATAGATTATGGCTAACTTTTAGATTCGCAATAATGGAAGGTTGAGACAAAAGTTCAAACCCATGAAGTTTTGTTTTCAATTTTCTTAATTAAAAGAAATAAAAACCCATCAAAATACTACCGATGAATAACAACTGATATAGAGGTTACACATTTGGTAAACAAATTAATTTGGTTCAGATAAGCACGTTGCAAATTATGAGAGAACTAACAAGATAATTACATATCCAGAGTTGAAGGAAACACAAAGAAATGCATCCAAACTAAGTGTACCATCATCAGGAGCTTCGCAAAGAGAGCAACTCCGACAGCAGTGAGAATCATCGGCATAGTCGCTGTGTCAAGGAATGTTCTTGGCTCCGGAACTTCTACAAATAACTGATTTTTCTTAGGGTTCTTCCTTTTCCTCATCTTCTCCAACTCAGCAACCTTCCTCTTTAGGGTTTCACTAGGACCATCACGGGATAGGGTATGCATCTGTCTATGCAATAGGAATAATGCTCTGCCAACTCGAAGCATTGTTACCAAAAAGGCGGTCAGTCAAGTCCTCAAATTATTTCAATGCTGAGAACCAAGATGTTGACCCAATAAGCGCAAAGACGTCATAGCCCCAATTGTAAGATTGCTTATTACTTCTTTGCTCAAAAAATACAAGGAGACTCTGTCTTCAAAACTGAGGAGGATGACAAAAGAATCAAAATGGGTAGCTTTTGCTTTTGAGGAATGAAGTAAATACATATATGTGTGTGTATAAACATATGTATAACAAAATTGTATCCAAAATTATGAGAACGACACTCTAAATCCCTCATAACAACAGAATATACAAAACATCAAACTGTCTAAGCAACTCAAATCAACGGCTCGTTACTCGTGATTTGACAAAAGAATCAAAATGGGTAGTTTTGCTTTTATATATATGTGTGCATAAACATATGTATAGCAAAATTGTATCCAAAATTATGAGAACGACACTCTAAATCCCTCATAACAACAGAATATACAAAACATCAAACTGTCTAAGCAACTCAAATCAACGGCTCGTTACTCGTGATTTGACAAAAGAATCAAAATGGGTAGTTTTGCTTTTATATATATGTGTGCATAAACATATGTATAGCAAAATTGTATCCAAAATTATGAGAATGACACTCTAAATCGCTCATAACAAACTGTAAGCAACTCAAATCAACGGCTCGTTACTCGTGATTTGACAAAAGAATCAAAATGGGTAGTTTTGCTTTTATATATATGTGTGCATAAACATATAAAACATCGTACTGTTCTCAGCAACTCAAATCAAAACCTAATACTTACGGAATTGTCTTAGCACCTCAAATCAAGGGCTAAGAGTGCTTGCAGATCAGAAATTCTCTTTCGCTTAGCACAGAATAAGGGTTTTGAAGGCATTGATGCACATAGAAAGCAGAAAAGAAAAAAAAAAATTACACAGAGCTATCCCCACAGATTGAATCCTCAAGGCAGAAGATATATAAACATGGTTCAGTTTTACTGTCTTTTTAAGGAAAGAAGATCACACTGTTTTTATTTTAATAAATAATATAACTTCATTGATATAAAAAAGCATATAATTTTGTCCCAAAAACATAACAAAAGTATGCATACAGACGAGTGTGTATATATGTTAGAGGTGAGTGCAAACATGATACATAATTTTATGTTTAAATATTTGCATGGTTTGATAATTGAGGAGCAATTTGATAGATAATGAAAATCGTTTATGTAGTTTGATGAATGAAAAAACTTACTCAACAATTATTATATATTATAGTTAAAGGGCATTTAGAAAAAAATAAGTATAATAATAGAAAGAAAAGTGTGATAACATTCATATCAAATGAGATGTACTGAGCGCTTTACATAATAGAATAGATATACTCAAGTTTATCGTTTTAAATAGCTAATCATACTCCTCATATGTTTATATAATTCTTTCTTTTATTAGGACTAGTGAAATGGCCGCGTGCAAAGCACACTAACTAGTGCCCATTAATCAATATTTTATAATATTTGTGTTTGGTACAATGCATTTTTAATAAAGAAATTGTCTTTGAATGAATAAATGAGAATTTTCCGAATGCTTGTCCAGGTCCTGCATTGTTAACACCACCACAAATTCCTTCCATAGAACATCATAAACATGTTTGGTGAACACAAAACCCCATTCAGTATGCTTGGTTTCCCTTTTCAAAAAACACTTTTCAGAAAATTCTACTTTCTTATTTTCCGTATTTTTTTGTTTTTACTGATTTTTTTAATATTTTAAACAGTTTTTTAAATTTTTAGACATACCTAACTTGGATGTATCTAAAAAGTAAAAAATTTGTGAAGAAAACCTTTTAAAAATTCACTTAATACCCAAAATACAAAAAAAAAACGAGAATTCAGTACATTTTTTGTATTTTTATGTATTTATTAATTTTTTAAAATATTTTTTCACAAATTTTTTACTTTTTAGATACATCTAAGTAAGGTGCATCTAAAAAGTAAAAAAAAAAATATTTAAAATTTAAAAAATATTCACTAAAAATAAAAAATTACGAAAACCAAAAAACTTAATTTTCAAAAAACTTAATTCAAAAAACTCAAACCAAACATACTGACTGCTTCTTGGAATTAATTGTATTTTTTACCTTGGTCTGAAATACATAGGTAGATGAAAGGCAGCAACATTTATCTGACCATACATTGGCAACTTTTAGAAGAGTTAAAATAAAACATTATTACCATGAGAAATGGATGATAAGTATCATCAAACATGGAAATAAATCTATATACATATAATATATCCTGAATTCTCTCAAAATACTGGCACAATCCTGCAAAATTCATAAACAATCAACTGACTACAAAGCGTATTAATCATAAAAACAAAAGCGTAATTGAACCCATTAATCTCCAATCATAGAATGTTACAGAAGGTTTTATTATACTTGACAATTCTTAAAAAATGATAAGAGTATTGCAAAATTCATTACTAAACCAAATAGGAATCCACAATCACAATACCCAAAAGAACTAAACACCACATGTCAAATTTTAATTTAACTGCAAAAACAGCTTAGCAAAAACCCATTAATCACCAACTATGTAATGCCATAAAAGTTTTTTTATTGTACTTCAAAATTGAGCAAAACCCACACAGCAATGCAAAATTCATTATAAAGCCAATGACGCAATTCAGGTGAAGATTCAATGTAGATCAAACTTTTGATTCACTTGTGAGATCCAGGTAGACGGGGGGAAGAGGTGTGGGGCATAAAAGGGGAGAAAAGCTGCAGAAATTCCTAAATCACAAAATTTAGCTATTGATTCTTTCTCCACACAAAACCCAAAAGTTTCACTACATAAGAAATCCATAAAAATTAAAAAATAAAATCTAGAAGTTTCAGAGAATACACATCACTATTTTGTGTCGCTAAACTCCACCCTCTAGCAATGGAGCTCAACTTAGCTTCATTAAAAGATCAAACCAAAGCATTTTATAGCACATATAATGAACAACTACGAGATCTGTATAAGCAAAATTTAAGAAAAGCATCATGAAATTGAAGATAAATAGAACATAAGGTAAATTACACTGACCTCCTTAACAGTTTGGGGAAAAAAATATAATAAACCTTACAGTTCTTATATACATCCTTTTCAGTAAGGCCAAAGAAATTAAAATTAGTGCACATGGTAAGAAAACACAAAGATAAATAACATACAATACCCACCAAAACGGGAGGTTTATATTGAAGCAACAAAAACTAATTGTTTGAAACATCTTTATCAAACCTAGCAAAATTTTGATTAATCAACTCTGTTTACTTGTAAGGACGAAAAGTACTTAAAAGGTAAAAAGTTTTATTCAATAAAATGTATGTTACTTTTAATAGAGGATCTCAAAGAAATCAAAACTCATTTCCCATGGGCATGACATTCTCTTGATCTAAGTTTTGTGGTGCACAATTGTTCACTAGTAAATATTATACAAGAATTTGAGAACTCATGTCATAATTATAAAATCTCATCTTTTGATATCTATACAAGGAAATTCAATAACAAACAAATTAGTTATAGAAAATATTGAGCACCTATTAATATGTTCATTGGCTTGCAATATAACAGATTTTGCAGAGTTGAATAATTGGGTAATAAGAAGTGTAAAAGCAGCCAAAAATGAATTATCGAATGAGAGGAATAATTTGAAAGCCCTCATTTTTTATTTTTTTTTGCATAGCTACCCAGCTGATTTCTGTAGGTGGATTGAAAGTCAAAAACCAAAAAGAAATTACTTAAATCTTCAAAAAAACAAAACCCTTACTACTGAAGCCATGTTCTGTTATGTCTAGCTTCCCAGTTAATTCCTCCATGTAGATTTAAGCCTGAAAAACCGTAAAATTAAAAACAAATAATTAAATTTGGCAAAAATAGAACCAAATAAATGAAACCTTAAATTCATACCATTGTAGGAAGCAAAATTTTTGGAGGTGGACATTGTATCAAACAAAACTAACATTGTCTTTAATCTCTCTTTATCAAATATAGTTCACAAACACTTTGTTTTGTATATAAACATATATAAATAAAATAATAATAAAAAAGTCCAAAAATTATTTAACAACAGTAGAACTGTGGAGATGCAATAAAAGAAACAAAAAGTTGGGACTGACAACAGCTTATAAAAGGAATAGGCAATTGTGTTTTTTTTTTTTAATTTTCAAATTTTGAGTTGTGTTGTATAATCTTTCAGTTGGCAGTTATGAGGTATATTAAAGGTAAAACGAGGAAAATATATTGCACTGAAGGAGATAAATAATCCACAAACAAATGGAACCATTGCCAAAGAAGGTGAACACTTTTACAATTCTTAAACCAAAATATATTGCACTGAAGGAGATGAATAATCAACAAACAAATGGAACCATTGCCAAAGAAGGCAAACACTTTTACAATTCTTAAACCAAAAGTATCCCAATAAACCTCAAGTCAATTTAGAAGACTACTCAAAATATGCACAACATCCATATGAAACAGTTTGCATAGGGTTCTTGCCATTTGAGGGACAAAGATTTGTGAAAAAAATTAGTAACAAATAAATTATGTACTCACATATTGAAGCAAAATTTTCAACTGACATGCATTAATCATTCAAACTAATTTTTCAACTCATTACAAATTAAAATGAATTTAATATAAAAAAATAATAATTCAAGAAATTAATTTTTATACAATCACATGCGTTCAAAATTAATTCAAAAACCTGGAGTTCCCTTAAGGGTTCTCTAATTTTAAATTCAAAAAATTAAATTTTTTTTATACAGTCACAACTAAGTTAAGGATCCTAATGTTAGTAACAAAACACCAATTGTTTTAGATTAACAAATTGAAAAATAAAAAAAAAATTGTGTTCAACCCATTAAAGAACCCAATAAGCTATAAAGCAATAAGCAATTGACATTGAAGATATTTGTAAAAAATATTTTAAAAAATCAATAAATACAAAAGAATATGAAAATATACTATATTCTTGTATTTTATATATATATATATATATTTTGCATTTAGTGAATTTTCTTTAAAAAAAATCACAAATATTATACTTTTAAGTGTATTTATGTTAGGTATATCTAAAAAATTGAGAAATTGAATCCCCAACTAAATAAC